TCTATATAATTGTACACCTAAAGTCAGTGTTGTGTTGCATAGGCAGATGTATCAGTATCATAAGTAGACTCACTTGGACTGCACAGTTACTGGGGCACCTGTAAGTAACTACACGAGTCTTGTCACGCTTCTATGAAGAAAGAGGAGGACAAGAAGAGAGAGGGAAAAGAGGACATTGACTGAAGATTCTGTTATTATAAGCATACTCGTGTGTGTGTGAGAGTGTGTGTGTGTGTGTGTGTGTGTGTGTAGGTGCCTGTATAGTGTAGTCTCTAGTTTATCATTACATAATGGCAGATACATAATTCTTACATTTCCCTTAAAGAGCGAAGGGTCTTTAGCTCCATCAAAATATGCAATCTTCCTAATACTAGCATCACCAACACCACCACCCTCCCTAGAATGAGAAGAGTGGAGCTACTTTGATTGCTTACAATACCAACACAACAGAATATATGATACAAATATTTGGGGTGATTGGTGACAGATAATGAGGTCAAATAATGAGGTTGCATCCTTCATATCCATCCTACTATATGAACACCCCCCACCACCTCCTCCCCCTAACTAAGTCACCTTCCAGCCTTGGCTGTAGTACAAATAAACAGTACACAAAGTAAGGACACAAAAGGAAGGAGTAAGTATATTCATTGCAGACACTGAAACATCTCAAATTCAAGTCAATAATTTCTATTCATTACTTTAATATTTCTTCTGCTAATGGAGTCAGTTCTTTCTCATACAGTTCCTCAGCAGCTTGCAATAGATAAGACTGAGGGCCCAATATAGCACGAACCTATTGGACACACCACCAGTGTTAGTATTAATATAGCACTGTACTGTACTGTACTGTATTGGACACACCACCAGTGTTAGTATTAATATAGCACTGTACTGTACTGTACTGTATTGGACACACCACCAGTGTTAGTGTTAATATAGCACTGTACTGTACTGTACTGTATTGGACACACCACCAGTGTTAGTATTAATATAGCACTGTACTGTACTGTACTGTATTGGACACACCACCAGTGTTAGTATTAATATAGCACTGTACTGTACTGTACTGTATTGGACACACCACCAGTGTTAGTA